AAAAAGTGACTTGGCTAGTTAGGTAGACAAACTTCAGCCTGTCTCAGCCAAATATTGATTCCAAACACTTAAAAAGAATTTGATGTTGACAGGAGCAGCATAGATCAAGAAGAAAGCCACCACAATCCTAGTGCTTGTCAGAAGCCGTGGTGAGTCTCCATCAATTCTTGTTGTAGAAGCAATTTTAAAAGCCTACCCACATTTTTGAGACAGTCCACACCCATAAGATACTCGGAATCGATTTCTTTTGTGAGTGTCGCGAGATGATAGAACTAAGTAGGGAGTCGGGTTTCTCTCAAAATGTAGTCCTTTACAAACTATAAATAGCGCTGGTTCAGAAAGAGAAGTGTGAGTGAATAAAATCTCAATTCTAGATGGTGAATTTCTCTAGGGTAACTCTTTACCACATTCACCTTTGGCTCCTCTGAACCGAGGGATCCTGGCTATAGCCAATTATCCACAAGTATTATTTATTCATTTTTTCTCAATAAGAAATACTGTCACTTGAACGGAAAGTAAAAGTCACTTAACTTGTTTAATTTACTTACCAAAGAGATGGTAAATGATTGACTGGCAGAAAGTTCCTATTTTTTATGTTATTTTAATACTGTCAATACAGCTAGAAAAAGCAGTCAGACAAAATCAAAAGACTGCAATTAGATCATATTACAATGCACATTTCTGACTTATCTGTGCTCATAAGAGAGTCAGTAATAAATGCAACAACAACCAAAACATAATAAAAAAACATAGAGGAGACACTGGAGAAGAAAAGGACATTAAGAAAACATTTGACAACAATCATGGCGATTTAGCATTATACTTAGCTCTGAGTATCCTATTGGTTCACATCAAGAGGAAAACGCAAAGGCAAGAGGGAGGTGGTAGGTGGGCTCAAGGGGTCTGCAGGGTGATGGGAAAGGCCAGATCTTGGGGGAACCTTTGCCATACTCTTGCTTCTGTCTTAGCCTATGAAGTCCTTCTTTTCTAGGCTTTGCATTTTGGGGTTACTGCAAAATATTCTCTTGGAGGAAAGTTGTGTTTAGGGAAATGAAGCTTGCAGGTTTGTGTGGTTATTGATGAAGCCTTCTGCTTTAGGAACTTTTGCTTCGCTGTGACCAAAGTATCCAACGAAATGACTTAGGAAAGAACTTACTCAGGCTTGTGTTTCAGAGGATTTGGTTCACCGCAGCCAAGTTCCGATGTTTCTGGGTCTTTGTTGAGGCGGACCATCATGGAAATAGCTTAACTGGAGCATGTGACAGAGGCAAAGAGAAATGGGCAAGAAGGGGCCAGAGTCAAGATATGCCCAGTGCCCTCCTTCCTCCAGTGAGATCCCACCTTAAGGTTTTCAGGACCTTTTCTAATCGTACAACAACTGAGGATTGAGTGTTCAAAACATAAGCTCCAGGGAACATCTCATATTCAAACAACAATACCTTCTCTCACCATCCTAATAGAAAATGCATCCTTTTGCCCAGGCCCAGCATTCACGATCTGCTATCCCTGATGTGTTTTTCTCAACAGGACTCACAGTATCTAACTTACCACATACTATGTATAATTTACTGTACTTTCATGAGTGTCTCATGGATGATATTAGGAAACAACACCCTTGTACAGGGTGATTTGAGGACACAATAAAAAACATTAACAAAGGTGTGGCCGGGAGTTTTGGTCGCCATTGCAGGTTGACACAGAACCTTGGAGAAGGCCACTGTGGTGGCAATGGTGAGTGGGGTGCTAGCGCCACGCTTGACCCTAGCAGGTTCTAGAGTAGAGGGGTATCTAGAGGATAGGCTACCTAGGGATGAGGGGGTCACCCTTATCTCTCTGTGAGCAAACGATTAAACTACTCTCTCATTCTTTGAGAGATGCTAAAACTGGAACCGGGAGTAAGCGTGCATTGTGCTCTGCTCCTACAGAAGCTCTGCAGGGAGCATATGGGGCGGACAAGGCTGGAAGCCGACGAGTGACCAGACGGTGCACACAAGCTACTTCACCCACTTTATTTGTTGCGCCCCCTCCCCCCACCAAGTGGAAACTGCAGCAGAGTGCTGGAACTGCGGCTGCTTCATTCTCCCTGTGTCCCCCTGTGGATTTCTTGAAGGGTGGAATAGCAGTCATCTTAATATGAGTTTAAAATTTTTACTATAATAGTGCCCCAGTTAATTATGGATGATTTATAACATGTCACCATAGGAGATACTTTTAAAACTGGTTGATATGAACAATAATAGGTGCGTAACACTTAGAATATATGCAATATAACACATACAAACTGAGTGCGAGCATAGACATTGTCTATACATTAGCATAGCTCAGATATTCAACTCATCTTTATGTCATGTGTATCTCATGTTATCAGGAGCAGAATTAGCATCTTAAACCCCATATATTTTATTTTTGCTTTGATATTTTGTTTAGTTTTATTTTAATAGGTGGGTGTTTTGTCTGCATGTGTGTCTGTGTGCCATGTATATACAATGCCCACAGAGGCCAGAATAGGGCATTAGTCAGGGTGTCCTCTGACTTGGAGTTACAGATGGTTGTGAGCCACTGTGTGGGTGCTGGGAATTGATTGTGGGACCCTTGAAAGAGCAACCAGGGCTCCCAACCACTGGGCCATCCCTCTAGCCTCTAAGTCCCATATATTTTAATACAGGAGTAATGTTAGTATTAAATGTCAAGTACATTTATATTACTAACCTGGTAAAGATTTATCAGAGAATACTTGTTTGAATACCTACTGTTGCCAAAAACAAACAACAAACAAAAAACAAAACACCAAAATGAAACAAACAAGCAAAACAAAATGAGAGTGATCTCATTTAATGTCTGACATGCTGTAAAAGAAGTGAGTCGCTACAGTGTCCTTCACTGACAGATGTGAGGCTCCAGCAGAGGGATGTTACTACCTGCACTGCTCCGGAACTGGGCAGAGTTGGGAGTCTCCTCAATCCAGGGCCTGGACTGGGGTTGAGGATGCTTCTTTAAATATTGGAGTCATAGGAGTCATACAGTTTGAAAATTACACGGGCCAGGAGCAACACCTTGACTTACCTCAGGAAGTCTCTAGGAAATGGCATCTGACAGTGTCAGAATGGCTGGCACTGCTGAGGGGACGCAGTCACTGTGTCCCTGCTATAATCGATAGAGAGTCCCAGGATGTGTGTTGTGGTGATAATATTATTTATGATTTATTAAAGCTTGCCTGAGGATTCAGAAAGCAAAATCATCCGCAAGCCATAGAAACCAGTCACACATCTTTAATCCCAGCAACCAAAAGCTAGGAGGTGGTGGTACACACCTTTAATCCTAGGACTCAGTATTAAGAGGTAGACAGACTCTGTGAGTTCAAGGCCACCCAGATCTACATGAGATTGATCCAGTCATATAGAGAAACAGCTCACACAAAGATGATCTCAGCACCTGGGACCACATGCCTTTAATTCCAGGACTCATGAAAGGTATCTAAGACAGGAGCAGGGTTTTGGATAAAGCATTCATTCTCTTGTCACATTGAGGATAGGAAGACATTCAGTCTCAGGATTCTCCAGGCATGCTGAGGAGAGGCAGCAGGATCAGCCCTTTCATCCTGAGGTCACAGTAAGAGCTGGTGTCCATCTACTTTGCTTTTCTGATCTTCAACTTGAAGTTTTATTCCCAGTATCAGTCCCTGGGTCTTCAATTTATCAGGTTACCTCTACATCATTTTGGGGGTGTCATTATGGGTCTCCATAAAAGTTACTACGGCAGACTATATTATTCTAGATTGTGTCATTGTTGTAGATGTTTCTTTCACAAGTGGTCAACCTTGGATGAAGATGTCTCCTTCCATTTGTTACTATCCAGAGAGGCATTACAGTGTGCCCTTTTGATAACATGAGGAAGATGCTCTAAGAATGAGCTCCCGTTTTACCCTGATGCACATGTCTTGATCTCAGGGGATGGCCCTACTAGTCTGGATCTTAGAGTGAACACAAGATGCCAATCCGAGATGCTGGCCACAATTTAATACAAATGGAAGATGAGCATTTTTTTTGTAAGACATTGCTGTTCAGTGGTTCCTTGTTACTGTAATGTGACTTCACTTACCCTAATTAATACAAAGAAATTACTATATATCTTAACATCTGCATTTGTCCACTGAAGACAGCTGTTACGGAGAACAAGTGGTCGGGATGTGTAGCTCGCTGGCTCTGTAGGGTTATAACACAATGAAGGGTGATGAAGAGAAGCAGGTGCTGGCAGATAAGCCGTTAAAGGCAGCCATTGCCTGTCTGGAAACAGGCTGAACCTGAGTGTGGTGGGAGCCAGATTATGCCGACCATTTTACATGCAGTGTCAGGCTCACAGTGGCCATTTGGGTTTCCTGAGTGGTACCTTGGAGGGTGGTCAGTGAGGGAATTGCTACAGCACTCTGTCCTCCAAATATGGAAACTGTTGGCATGTCTGGACAGTCACTGCTGCCATAGCGCTGTGCCTGGAACTGTCTTCTCCAGAACAGACACTGGACTCCGCAGGAGGCAGGAGTTGCATTAGTAACTGTCAAGTACAGGACACACAGGCTAGCATTAATGGTGAGCTCAGCCCTCTCTGGGGATGATGCGTCTTCTCACTCCCTTATCCTGCAATCACTCCACCTAGGAGACACATAAATCATAGCCAGTGACCTAATGAAGTAATATAAGTTTGTCTGAGTTTGACAGCAGAAAATAATAGAGGACCTCACTCAAATTCAGAGGGAGAGAAATAGGAGGCTTTTAAAATTTGCTTTCTCGCCAGAATGGAGGGAGTCCAGAGATGGACAGAAAGTTACAGCCATAAGTTGTCAGTTTTCTGAAAGTCCCCCACGAATCTATGACACTGAAAAAGCCCCAGAAGAGAGTGGGGGTGAGGTAGGACTGTTTGTGTGTTGGCACTATATTATGTTCAATGGTTTCTGGCATGAAATTAATTACTGGCTATCATGCATTTTCCCCCTTCCTTTTTGCGCAGTGACATGGTGTAAGGAGAGGGCCGGACAGCAAGGCGGGTCTGAGTTTGAGTCTCAGCCCTACGACATTGTCAAGGTACTTACTTTCACTGAGTCAATTTCTTCTATCCTTCCATGGGCAATTAGATGAAACAATGCATTACAGTACTTGGCTTAGCGCCTGACACAGCTCGGTCCCTGTTCATTTCCCTCTTTAATCTCCTAGGAATGTGAAAAGATGAGTGGGGATTTGGGCTGCTGGTGCAGCGTGCTCTTGCATTATGAACTAGGAAGTGCATGTGATAATCACAAGGAAGAGAGGGAGATCGCGGGGTGTTTACATGTCCCTTCAGGTCACCCGCTTGCTCTGTCCACATGAGCAGCATTTGCGCGTGGGGCATTTCAATGCCATCTTTTTCTGAGTAGGAGCTGCTAGTGTTACTAATAGACATCCATTGAATGCAATAAGTGGTTGAGCCCAGGCCAGACACTGGGATAGTTTATTTGGGTCTGCCTCTGCTCTGTACTCAATCTTCTTTCCATTTAGCATAGTAAATAGAATGGCTATTTTATGTTCTCAGTTCTGCCCTTTCTAGATGCCCAATGCTTCATCACTGATTTCTTCCCTTATTCGTTGCCATCCTCATTTCTGCCAGACTCGCCTGTCTGGACAGAGAAGGAGTAACCTGAAAACCTGAAGTACGAGCTGGAGCACCACACACTAAAGAGCAGCTCCTTCCCTAGGGCTTTAGCGACATCCCAGCAGGGCAAGCATGCAGTGGGAAAATAGTCTGAGCTAATTACCAGGATAATGACAGTGTATTTAAAGGAGGCTGTGCCAATGGGGCCTCTCCCAGTTTCCCACACAGAGCAGCTAGTAGCAAGTAAGCTTGTCACTCCCAGATTAACGTGGTGATGACTTCTTCCTAAAGAGAATGAGACTGGGGTCTATGAACTGAGGGGATGGAGAGTGAGTCAGAGGAACCGGCAAGGATTAGAATGAGGAAGGAAAAGCAAACACAGTTGAGCATGTGTTCCTAGCAAGAAGCCCACTAGAGTTCAGTAGCATTCCGAAATAGGGGCTGCAAGAATCAAATAAAGATGGGACATCCATTCCCACAGGACAAGTGGAAGCTGGGTCTCTACTAAACAGAGAAAGTGGAGAATTGGGTCATTTACGTGCAATCTTAAAAACAGATCCAGTATATGCTCACCCCTCCCTCCCTCCTTCCCTCCCTCCCTCCCTCCCTCCCTCCCTCCCTCCCTCCCTCCCTCCCTCCCTCCCTCCTTCCTTCCCTCCCTCTCTCTCTCTTCCTTTTCCCCTGAAAAGTGAGGGACAGTATTGTATTGTTGCTACTCTCTGAGTGTTTGTGCTGTAGACAACATGTAGACAATAGGAATGTATGCTCACCTTTGGGTAAGTCCCCAGTTCCTGGACTTCATCCTCCAGATTGTTTACACCATGCACAGCATGACTATGACACCGGTCAGGCAAAGGAAAAGCGTCAAATGTTCCTGTCTTGTGCTGTTTTCTTGGTCACAATACTGGTGCTATTTTTTCATTTTATTATGAAAAAGAATAACCTCCCAAGTCCTGAAGTGACAGGTTAGTGACAAGATGCCACACTTTGCTTTATGATTTTTCCAGTGGAGACAGCAACTAATATCTATTCACCCCAGAAGGGGAACCAGCGACAGACCAAAGAAATGATTCCACCAAGGCCCAACTCTGGTGAACCAGTGTGTTTATTGGGATTATTTACAAGAGTATGGACAAGGAATTACTTAGAGGACTGTGTGTGACTCAAAGACAGCCTGCATCATCTAAAAGTCCATTACAGCCTGGTGACAATTAATGAAATTGAATCCATGAAACCTTCTGGACAACTCACAGACACAAATCAGAAAGTCTCCTCACTCTAGCAATTGTTAATGGTTACAAAGCATTGGAGAAGGGCTTTGTGCCCTTGTAAGTTTCAGAAACTTCCCGGGACTTGTCAGTTGTTTATTTTCTGAGCCTTGTCACTTTTGCTTGTATCCTGAGTGTTCAGAAGCCTGGATCCAGATGGGATGTTTAATCAAGAGGAAATTGCTACTTGTATATCAGTATCCATACACTACCCAAAGAATAGGGACCATAATTGTCTATAAACCCATTAAATAAATGTCATCCTTTAGTCAAGGTAAAGTTAACTCTTCAGATACCCTGACTTTCCACAAAATCAACTTTTCAATTACAATGTTTCTATTTAATAGAACACTCCACTTGCCACTAACTGGCTTTATTTAACTTGGACACAAATTGCATATGCAAACACAGCCAAGTACAAACTGTAACAGGCATATGTTATGTAAACTGGAATGGTGTACAAATAATGGAAAATATGAAAAATTTCACAGGAAGGACACAGGAAGAAGCCACAATTTTAATCTAGAAGCAGAAGGGCTTGTTGCCCACTCTTTAATATGAGTGAGAAAAAAGGGTCTTGCTCTTTCTGATACTATTATTTAATTGAAGGAGAAACACAAATAATACCAAGGTTAACTGAGAACTTCATGGTATTAACTTAGGCATTGTCTAAGATAAACTAATCTACATCTTTCCAGCACTCTGTATAACTTTTTAAAATGTGCCAATCAGGATGTGATGGGGTTTTGTGAAAACACATCATTACATTTGTGCTACCAAAACAGTGTCTTATAAGGGATGTTTAAAAACAACAGAAGTTTATTGATCACATTCTGGAGGCTTGGGAAGCTAAGATCAAGGACCTACAGTGTCTGTGTGTTTGGGAACTTGTCCTTCTTGGATGACATCTTCACATAAGATGTCAGGTGTCCTCAAATGGTGGAAGGAGTGGACATCTTCTTGTCATCTCTCTTACCAATTCACATATCTAACCACCTGCTAAATATCCCCTAATGCTATTACAATAGCCATTAAGCTTCAACATCTGAACTGGGGAGGAAGCACAGTCAAACCATAACAAATCATGACTAGCACTTCAAATTGGGGAACTCCATGACTAAAATGGTTTATCAGCCTTTCCTTAGCATTTTAGACCATTCAACAGATTCCTGGAGACTACCTGCTACCAATGAACAACAGGCAACACGAAATCAAGGTGAAGTTTCAGGTTAAGAAATGCTGCATTTGGCAGAATAAAGATGTACAACTTTCAACTGTGAAGCTAATGATACTGGATGGGAAAAACATAAGCGTTTACTCATATCATAAACTATTCTTGAGGACCTCTCCTTTAATTGGTCATTTAATATTCTCTTGTGCAGCTGGATTAGCAAAAGGAGTCCAACAATAGAGGAAAAGGACTCTCCCCCCACAATACCACCAATAGACTTCATTACTAGGGCTTTTATTAATCGCTGGGTCTATAGGCCCCGAGAAAAAGAACAATGGTGAATGGTGAAAGGTCACTTGGTACAATGCAAACCCAGTTTTATTTTTTCCAGTGTTCCTTAATCATCTCATATAGCATATAAATTCATTTTTTTGAAATTGTATAGGAAAAGACTCCTAGGAATCTTTTGTATTTAAGATAAATTTGGTAAAGGATGGATATTGCTCTACTCAGATCTTGTTTATAAGTCAATATTATTAATTTATGTTTTTAGAGAAAGTTGTTTATTTTTAATATTAAAATCCAGGGACATAGAATTCTAAATAGTCTCCATAATAGCTCATTAGTTTCCTTTTAGCTTTTATAGTAGCTACTTTTTTTGTTCCCATTTCAGTTTGTCTGTGACTTCCCACTTTCATCCATTAGATTCATTGGAGGCTCATGCATTATAGATTTTTCATCAAGATTATTAATTTATTTTTAACTTAAAAATAGAATCATTTCTTTCTACCTTTACTGTCTTTCTCTCTAGCCTATTCAGGAATTTTGTTTGTTCGACTGATTGCTATCTATATTTTCCAACTTGAGTAGGATAATTTATTTTCTCTAATTAAAAATAAATGAATATTAGGATTTTGTATTTGCCCCACAGCAGAATTGTCAACTCAGCCATCACTTTACTGACTATCTGTATGAGCCAGGCAGTACTTCTTTGTGTATTTGAGATCAACAGTGATCACAGCACACAGAGATCTCTGGCTTCTTGGAATTTATAGTCGAAGGAACTAGAATTAAGTCAAAGATGTTGTCAACAGAAAGTGACAAATGCTAAGAAATATGTCTCAGGAAGGTGACACACACAGGAATTCTTGAGAGTGACATTTATAATTTATCTATTTATTTATTTATTGACATTTATGATTTAATTTAAAACTTTAATTTTGGTCTAAAGCATTGTACCTGTATTCTTATTTTCTGATACTGGCAGTTACTGAAAATATTTTTATAAGGTGATTTTAAAACTTGCTGTTTAGCTTAGCCCGTACTAGTCAGTAGCTAGCAGAGATTTTTTTCCATTCCGTAGAGCGTCTCTTCATTCAATCAGCTGTTTCTTTGCTGCACAGAGGTTTTTCAATTCATAAAGTTCCCATTGTGAGTTATTATTAACATTGTTTCCTGAGTGACTGGAGTCCCATCCAGAAGGTCCTTGTCTATGTCTGAATCTTTCAGTGTTTTCCCTACTTTCCCTTTCTAGGGATTCAAAGTTTAAGGGTTTACATCAAGGTCTTTGGTCCATTTGGATTTGACTTCTTGAAAGGCTGAGGTATAGGGATCTAGTTTCACTATCCAACATATGGACACCTATTTTCCCCAGGATAATTAATTGGTGACATCTTTCTCCACAGTGTGTATTTTTTGGTATCTTCATAAAAATTCATGTAGCTGTAGTTGCATGGGTTTATGTCTGGGTCTTCCGCTCTGGTCTGTTGCATTGGTCAATGACTGCTTTATGCCAGCACCATCTGTTTGTTACTGTGACTTTGTAGTGTAGCTGAAACCAAGCATGGAATTACCGTCAGTGAGATTCATTTTGGTCGGGAGTGCTTGGATCACCTCTGTAGTTCCATACGAATTTTAAGATTACTTTTTCAATTTCCATGAAGAATGGCATTGGGATTTGATGAAGATTGCAATAGACCTGAAGAATGTTTTTGTAGGGGTGCACTTTCTTTTCTTTTCGTTTCATAAATTTTATTTAAATTAGAAACAATCTTATTTTATGTATCAATTCTTTTCCCTCTCCCTCCCATCCTTCCATGCCCCCACCGCCCCCTATCCCATACCCATTCACTCCACAGGGAGAATGAGGTCTTCCATGAGGGATCATAAAAGTCTGTCAAGTCATTTGGGGCAGGGCCCTCCCCTGTGTATCTAGGCTAAGAGAGTATCCCTTCATGGGGAATGGACTCCCGAAATTCGTTCGTACACTAGGGATACATCCTGGTTCCACTGCCAAAGGTCCTATAGACTTCCCAGGCCTCCTAGTTGACACACAGGATACCTCCGACACAGCTGCCTAAGGGCTGATAACACAGCCCAGAGAGATGGGTAGGGTCCCTAAAAGTCTGAGAGCCTGGTTTGGTCCTATATTGGTTTCCTAGCTCTCAGACTGGGGTCTATGAGCTCCCACTTGTCCAGGTCTGCTGTTTCTGTGGGTTTCCCCAGCATGGTCTTGACTCCTTTGCTCATCAAGCCTTCCTCTCCACAACTGGATTCCAGGAGTTCGACTCAGTGTTTAGCTGTGAATCTCTGCTTCTGCTTCCATCAGCTACTGAATGAAGGCAGGCCACTTTCAAACATTAATTCTTTAAATCCAATTTTTCCATCTCTTAGCAACCTCTAGAAACCATTTATTTCTCTTATTTGAGTTTATTTCAAGGTATATTTTGAGGCTATTGTGGATAGAATTGCTTATATGATTTCTTTCTCAGTATGTTTGTTATTGGTAATTATGAAGGCTTCTGATTTTTATGTGTCAAACCATCAGGAATAAGTGTTCCTGAATGTCAAGGTGTCAAGTGGGAGGACCAGGGGTGAGAACTAAAAATGATGAGTAAAAAAGAAGACAAAAGCAATCAATGGCTGGGACCCTGAGGTCTTGCATAAGTTGATGACTTATTAAGAAGTGCAGCATCATATATACTATTTGCAAGGGCAAAACAGCCAAGGTCAGCAGAGAGCTAAGACAGACGATGTTGGCAGAGAGAACACAGGATACCTCAGACACAGCTGCCTAAGGGCTGATAACACAGCCCAGAGAGATGGGTAGGGTCCCTAAAAGTTGTAACCTTGACTCTTTTGAGGAGGCACTGGCTCCAACCCTAGACTGGCCTTGCTTGAATCCATTCCTGAACAAGGACACGGAATTAAAGTTCCCTTTGTTCTTTTATCAGGGCCTCTGAGAAAGTCTGGGGTCTGTCTGACTCCAGACATATGTGTAATTTTGTATCTTGCTGCTTTGTTCTAGGAGTTTCTGGTGGAGTATTTCAGATTGCTTATATGTGGAATCATAATCTGCAAGTAAGGCAGCTTAGACTTCTTTTTCCCTATTTATATTCATATTTCCATTAAAATAATTTAATATGTGTATTGAAAACGAAGAGTAATATATAGTATACACCTTAGCAGATACAAACTAATTATATTTTTTATTATCAAATATCTTGACAGAATACACAAGGGTTTTTCTTAAATCCTATAAAGGTTTGTTTATGGAACTCACTAGTCACAGCCAGAATCTGAAGGAAGCCAAATGCCCTTCCCTAAAAGAATGCCTGGAAGATTCGTGCACACAATGCAACACTCTACTGGTATTCAGTAGAATTAACTAGTTCTAGATTTATGAACAAAGACAGTTCTCAAAAACGTGAGTGAAAAGGCAATGTGTTGTGTGTGTGCTTTTGAGAGAAAGTTATTAATAGATTTAGCTGGAGTTGGTCACATGTAGACTCCCATTTTTATCAGTCATGTGTTGTTTCTTTATAAACAGCCTTAAATATGACAATATGTTGACATGTATTAACACTGGATAGTTATTTTTATATGGGTTTAAATATTTTGACTATAATTTCTTAAAAAGAAGCTGAAAAAGAAGAGTTTTCCTGGTCATTAAGAATAGACATTCTCTCAAGAAAGGGACCAGTCTCCATCTTAGCAGTTTTTTCTTTTTCCCTTTTCTTTTGAATTAGAAACGCTGCCTAAGTTGGGCTTAGTGGCACACATCTTTAATGCTGGCACTTGGAAGGCAGAGGCAGGAGGAGCAGTGTGAGTCCAAGGCCAGTCTGGTCTACACAGTGGATTCCAGGTCACCCAGGGATACATAGTGTGAGCACCTCACAAGCATATAACTCCTCCCACCCCCACCGCCACAACCCTGCCTCACCTGCTTAAAGCAACACTGATGAGCAGAGTCACTTGTACCTCAGTTCCCATGGGAAAGCCCTTTGGTGAAGAGATTTCCCAATGGTTTTTGATCCCGTAACCCCACAAGTAAAATAACCCAGAGTCTTATTTTTCTATATTCGGGCTTATTTACATAAAAGTGTATACATATACCATTATAGTAATATACTGTGTATAGTCTAACATAAAAATAAAATTTAATGTGTTAATATGCCCCCACTACATGAGTGAGGGGAGCCTTTCTCCTGGCTGTGGTCACCAAGCACTGTCTCATTCTCTATCTCCTGATGGCACTGTTCTCTTGCTCTTAGTGAACTTCACAAGTCCCTTTATTTCTCAGGTCTCTTCTAGTTTAGGCAAATCTGGGCTCAATAATAATCCATTTCTTTCATGTGTGAACAAATATTCACTGAGTTAGGGATTCACAGCACAAAAGAAGATAAGAGAGGGTTCCTATTTTCACAATTTGAATTCCATCGAGAAGGAATGAAGATCATCAAGCAGGCACATGGCTATCTAGAGTAATTCCTATTTATCATCTGGACTTTGTTGAAACACATAGGATGATGCTTTTAAAAATTCTGTGGATGAGGGCCAGTGAGATGATTCAGTGCATAAAGGTGCCTGCGGTCAAGGCTGATGACCTGAGTTCATTCCCTGGCTCCCACATAGTGGAAGGAAAAAAACCATCTCCTGCCAAGTTGTCTTCTGACTTCTAGGTCATGTGGTAGCATCTGTGTATTCCTCTCCCCCAACAAAAATATATGAACTTTAATTAAAGAACTCTTTGAGGGTTGGGTAAAGGCTCTCTGAACAGACAATGATAAGTTGAAGGTTACAGGCAACTGTGTGAAAGTCTATGGCAGGAGTCTGAGCACATTTACCAGTAAGGGAAGACTGTAATGGAAAACTTTTCATGAGTTAAATGTAATCTTAGGTGCAGAATGGTTAGAGTGTCATGAGGCCGTGTATGTACCAGAGGAGACAAAAGAATGGCAAGGATGCATCCAATAAGGCCTTGGAGACATGGTAAGACATGTGAAGGAGGTTGGGTTGTATGCAATTGAGGTGTGAGAGGAACTTATTTTTATTGTCTTGTTTTTGCTTTGTTTCCTTCACGGTGCTGTTGAGGAAGTCCAGGGCCTCAGACATGCTAGTCTACCATGGAGCCATATCCCCAGATCTCTTTTTACTTTTTAAGATATTCTGAGGCAAGGTCTCACTAAGGAGGTCAGGCTGGCCTTGAACCCACTCTCTAGCACAGGCTTTGAAATAATGAGTCTCTTGCCTCAGACTTGCACCACCAAGGACAATATGTCATTCTTAAAAGGGTAGTTGGTGAAGAGAGTATTCATGTTGAAAATTATGCCCATGTTATCCACTCTTCATAGAATGTTTGTGTAATTCTTAGCATAACTGTTTTGTCATAGAGGAATTGATTATTGGAAAATTTAAATGACATGACCTTCATCCTATAAGGTAAAAGTGAAAGAACTAGAGTTCCTGTTTTCTTACTTTAGGTCATATGCTCAGCATCCATTAAGTCAGTTCTCCATCCTCCTCTTCCTTCTCCCTCCTCCATCCCTACCTCCCTGCCTCCCTTCCCTTCCCTCTATCCCTCCCCCCTCCATTCTCCCCTCCCTCTCTCCCTTCCCTCCTTCCTTCTCCCTTCTCTCTCCCTCTTCCTCCCTTTCTCCCTCTCCCCTCCTCCTCTCTCCTCCCTCCTTTCCCTCCTCCTCCTTCCCTACTTTTCTTTTGAAGTCTCTCTCAGTGCTCCTGATTTGCTGTCCTCTTCCTTTAGCCCACAGGTGATCGAGGAGAAGAATGCCAGAGGCCAGCATGGCTTGTCTCACATGTTCGTGTGACTCAGTACAAAAGCGTTTATCAGCTAAAGACATCTAACCTTGCTTGGTGTGACATTATCTCTTCAGCAAAGTCCTGATAACAGTAGTTTGCCATGGCCCACATAGTTATCCAGAAAAGCAGTTTATTATGTTAGATACAGTTTAAATTAGTAAATATCCCGGGGATGATGTACATTTCTTTTTCCTTTGGGTTAATAATGTTTTTTTTTCCGTGTGTATGGGAACATGGTGTGTGTGTGGACATGGTGTGTGTGTGAACATGGTGTGTGTGTGTGTGTATGTGTGTGTGTGTGTGTTCTAGTGCTAACTTCTGCTTCATTTCCTCATCATCACACCCTCACTCTCACCTTCCGCCACATCCCTTATGTTTGGTCTTGCCCATTCTGGAATTTCTCTTACAAACCATTAAATTTGAGGAACAGGAGTTAAATTTTTTCAAACATAAAAAACAGAATGATACAATAAATCTCAGTGTAGCTGACATTTATACCAACAATTATCAAAATTACAACACAATACACCTTGCTTGTCTTTCTTTAAATATCTCAAGGCATATTCATTCATACTTCATAAACTTTATATATATATACATATCAGTACAAATTGAAAGTTAAACTATTAAATGTAATTAATTAACACTCCCAAAAGTATAAAATTTGGGAACTGGTCATGGTGACCCACATCTGTAATGCCAGCACTCACGAAGATGAGGCAGGAGAATTGAGAATTCAAAGCCACTCTATGCTACACAGCAAGATTTTGCCTCATGAATATATGAGATTTGTCTTCCATTACTGGGATTATAGACACGCACCACCATGCCTAGCATGGGTCTGAATTTCTTAGTCAACTATATAACTGTAAATCAGATGACTCATCAGATACATTCCCTCCAATGTCTGGAAGGGTCCCAGTGATTGAGAAAATAGGCCAGTGAGTCATTGGATCCTTTCAGTGAAGGACTGACAGACGGAGGGGAAGGCCATCTGGAGGCGCCGCTGAGCTGGACACGCTCCCCTTTCCCATGCTGCACGGTGACAGCTGGAGCCCCGACTCTGCACTCTGCTCAGCTGTGCAGAAGTGTGTGGTCGACTACAACGAAGCCACTCTTTAGGAGCAGCTGTCACTCACCTGCTGGAGAAGCCTTCGCTGACTACCGCTTCCAGTTAGCTTTCTCTTCAATGCACAGTTCAACAACACCTACTCTCTCTCTCTCTCTTTTCCTTCTCGGGTAGACTGCGAGACATTCAAGTATGAACGGTGTTCATTCTTCCACAACGAAACTTAAGGTACCCAATAATTGTATGTCAGGTTTCTAATAGGTATTTATTAAAGAGCAAATGCCGCTCGGTTTTCCTCTGGGCTGAAGTTGTTTATGTCTGTTTTTTTCTGCTTAGAATCTAGTCCTAAGACTATGAAAATAAAGAACCAGTATCTATGGCTGTAGATAAAGGAAGGCTTGTGTTAGCTCCCAGTCACCGACTCATTGTTCAACCTGCTCTGCGAGTCCTCTGGAACCTACTCCTGGGTTGTCTTGCTTGAGCAACCTACAAATACCCCCCCACACACACACACTCCGCGCTGTGCAAATGATTAGGGTGATTGTCAGTTGCTGGCATGTCCTGTGGTCTGACCACATGTTTAAGAATCATGAAACCCTCCATAAGACGTCACAAGCAGCAAACCCACAGGAGAGGCTCATTCCTGTGGCAGCACCAGGGTGCCACCAAGTGGACAGTTTTTGAAGTCAGTGCAGTGTGAGTTGGTGAGTCATTTTGGAATGCAGCTTTGGCTGGCTCCTTTAGGGAAGGGCAGGTTTTATCTGCTACCTTCTTGGACTTTATGTTCGTGAAGGACTCTAACCGTTGCTTTGCGAGTGCATTTTCAAATTCATTTCCCTTCCCTCCTACATGTGACTCCCTTCTCCTTTTATATTGTATAACCACACAGGCACTAGTGTTTTATTTTATTATATTTTGAGAGAAAACAAGTTCCTTATTATTTCTAGATGAACTTTGAAAAGATTCAACAGCCCTTGGGAGTCTCTTTAAAACAGTTTACATAGGGGAACACAAACCAAATCTGAAAAAGTTGAGTAAAATTGGAGTAACTCCATAAATTTTTATTTTTATTTTGGTTGTGAGCCTAGCCTTTAACGGCTGAGCCATTTCTCTAGCTCCTCCATAATTTAAAAAAATATTTATATTATTAAATATTTAAGTTGTGTGTTTATGTTGTGGGGGTATGTGAAAATGTGTTCAGGTGCCTGCAGATGCTAGAGACGTTGAGTTTCCTCAAGCAGGGGTCCAGGCAGGCATGAGGCACCTGCTACAGGTGCTAGGAACCAAGCTTGAGTCCTCTGAAACAGCAGTGTGCACTTTAAGCTACTGAGCCATCTCTCCAGCCTCTCACTCCAGGTACTCTTTCTGAACAGAATGGAACAAGGCTTGAAGTCAAAACAAAGATTAAGCCCATCTTAGGTGGAAAAAGCTAACCTCTGTTCTGTACTTTGAGGGAAATGAAGCTTGCTAAGGTAATATACATGTTTGTTATGTGCAAATTGAATTGATATTTGAATCTCTCTGTAGCTAATCCTTTGTTTCTCAGATCATCATACAAATGCTGTTGGAACATTCAAAAGCCATACAAAAATGAGTCTGATCTCTAATCTTGAATCATAAGTGAACATGAACTTGAAATAGATCTGGGTGTCACAAGCACCCCAAACCCCAGAAGTCTTGCCAATGCTCTCAGACCCTTGAAAAAGTGTCTCTGTAAAGTGAGTTTTCCATCATCAGGGCTACTGGCACTTCACCTGAAGTGAGAGATATTTCAAAAGGCAGAGGCTTCATACAGGACATTTTAAAAATAAGACAGTATTTGCTTACTTTATTTATTTGTTTTTATGACCCACTGAATTTAATTAGGCTTGTTGCTTGAGCTATTTGCTGTTTGAGTGGCTATTTGCTGGGACAAGAGCAACTTACCAGCAGTCACACCACTAAAGTAATTGACTCCTCTACCTCAATAGCCATTAATGGGATGGAGTGTCTTTAGCTCCTCCCCCATCTGTTCTAGACTGTCCATAGGATCAATTTGTGCCATTCTTGTGTGAGTGACCACAGCTGCCATGAGTTCATGGACACAACAGTGGTGACAGCTTGGTCACTCCAGGAGACGGCATTTGACAACACTGCTCCCCCTCCTCTGACTCTTACATATTTTCTGCTCCCCCTTCTGTGATGCTGCCTAAGCCTATTTGTGTATTCGAAAATAAAATTTCTCTGAAGATCCATCTCAGCTCAGTGTAGCTACATCAGTGCACATTTTTGTACTCTATGACAGGATAAGAAGATTTTATGTCATAAAGCTGGCTCATAGCAGGTATACACATATGGTGATCCAAGGTCTGATCTCAACTGACAACTACTGTGGCCACATACATTACACTGGGGATTCTCTTTCTGTTTCCATATTTATGAAGTGAAGTAGTTAGAATTTTTAGAATTTTGTGCATTCCTTCAATGTTAACAGTAATACTGTTAATAGGAAAGCTGGGAATGATCTATGAGATTCTTTTCTCCTCCTCCTCTTGTGTCAAGGATCAGACCCAAGGTCTTTATCACTGAGCTACATCTCTCCTGTGTGATGCTTTTCCATGACATTGTATTAAAACTTACTATCCTTAATACAAGTCCTCATTTAAAAATCTATGGAAATCAGTATGAAGGTTCCTCAAAAAACTAGAAACTGAACCACCATATGAGCCACCTATTCTAAGTCAACAGACTACCATGATAATCATGTATCTGTGTTTACTGCAGTGTGATTCAAAACAATCGAGTTATGGAATCAGTATAGGTACTCTCAACAGATGAATGGATGAAGAAAACATGACACATATACATAATGGCATTTTATCTGGCCATAAAGAAGAACAAAATTATGTCATTTTCAATAAAACGGATGCAACTTGAGATCATTATTATATCGAGCAAAATATGCCAGACATGGAAAGACAAATATTTCATATTTTCTCTCATTTGTAGATTCCATGCTTTATTAGATATGTAAAAGTCTCTCTCTCTCTCTTCTCTTCTCTTCTCTCTCTCTCTCTCTCTCTCTCTCTCTCTCTCTCTCTCTCACACACACACACACACACACACACACACCGCAAACACACACACCGCAAACATGCATAAAAACAGAGGAGAGCCTGGCAGTAAGGAAGAGACTAATGAGATGGTGATGAGAGAATTCAAGGGAGTGGTGATGGTGAATATAATTAAATTACATGACGTTCTTAACAGAACTTTCTTTTAATGATCTTTATGAAACCCTTAACTATGCACAATGAATATAAATTGCCAAGAAAACTGTGAGTGTGTGAGTACGTGTGTGTGTGTGTGTGTATGTGCTCACGTGTGTGCGGTGTGATGGTGTGCATACTTGTGTGTGCTTATGGAGGCGAGAGGAGATGATGAGTGTCATTTTTTATCTCTCTCTGGTTTATTTTAAAAAGTAGAGTCTTTCGCAGAACCTGAAATCCACCGTTTTGTCAAGGTTGTTGGGCCAGCAAGGTCCTAGGGTCACTTGTCTCCTCCCTCCCATCTTTGGGGTTACAGGCATGAGTTGTCATGCTGGACGTTTTAATGTGGGCACTGGGGCTTTCAACTCACCTTCTTGCATTCACAGCAAGTGCACTTACCCACTGGGAGTCCATCTCCCCAACACCAAACACTGTTATTCTGGAGACCCCAGAGAATTTTGATGAATACTTATGGGCAATTTCTCATAGGAATTTCTTTCAAATTTGCCAAATGCATGTTGCAACAAGCATATTTCTATATTTCTGTTATAGTTTAAACAACATGATCAGAACTGTGTCACCTAAACATGCCAAACGCTGTTATTATTTTTCCACCAAAGGACAGAAACAAATGGACCTCAGTGCCCTGCACCCTGGGTCTCCTGCCAAGAAACTCACAGCTCTCCACTGAGTCTGAAGATGCATTGGGGGAAGAAAAGAAGCAGCCTTGGAATTCAGCTTGAATTTCTCACCCACTATGCATCTAATCACCAAACCCTCCATAATACAAAGTGGTTGTGGGAAATCCTACCCAACACATTTGGTAGTCCTAGGGCTTAAGTGGAAAAG